TCTCTAATTTCCCCTCCTCGACTCCTCGAATCCTCGGTCCTCCGGTAGTGACCCGGAAATGGTTTTCGGCGCGCCATGTTGAAGGACACCTCATTTCTCTAAATGCACATCGAGGACCGAGGATCGAGTGTCGAGGAGGCTCTCTGGAGGAGCTATAATCGAGGATACACTGATGGGTCCTCCACGGTTCCTCCGCGGATGCATTTCCGGCAACAGTGATGTTTAAAAGAGTCGTGACGCACGGCCGGACTTATCTCAGCCAATGACAGCTCTGCATGCATCCCCTGGATATTATTTTATTAACTGCTTTCATCGCGACGCGAACAGCTGTGATATATCCAGTCTCTGATAGTGTTACGTTATTATGCTGTGAGTGCTCTCATACTTGTTTGATTCTGAAATTGTATATATTTATATAAATATATATAGGCTATATACCTATATATATATATATATATATATATATTAGTGTGTGTATGTCCGCATCTGTCTGTTATTGTCTCATTATACCGCACTGTGAATGAATTAAAAGTAAATAAGTCAACATGAACACAGTTCTGTCCATCAGACAGAGGGCTGCTGTGCCTCCTGTCATCATTAATGGACGTCTCTTTAAAATGACCGCTCAGAGGAGAGGAGTTCTCATTTCTCTAACCGCCTGCTGCTTCCCCTCCTCTCTCCTCGGTTCCCCTCCTCGGCTCCTCCGCTCGCATCTCCTGTGGGTGGGACTAAGACACGAGGATAGGAGTCGAGGAGGGGAAATTAGTGAAATGAGAAATATGCAGTGTTTTAATTTTGCGTATAATGGAGCTGTTACAAAAAACGTTAGCTTGCTTTCACTCAAATGTACAGGCTACCTGAAGTAGGACACTATACATAACGTCAAACTGTTTGACTCTTGGCAAACTGCAAAGGCATTTCAGTTTCTCAATGTTAGTTTGTTTTGGTTTATAGTTTTGCTGAAGTAAGAACTTTCTTCTCTGTTGTATTTTGAAGTTTAACCTGTTTTAATGATGGGCTGCCATTTTAACTTCAGGAAGTAGTTGGAAACACTTCACTATGTTTTCTTGGCAGATCTGTATGCCTACATGATATTGTCATACTCTTAGGAATTACCACTTAAATTGAGTTGATGTGCAAGTCACGTCAGAAATTCTATAATTGTTGTAAGGTGATGCACAACTTTTTCACAATGCTAAAATATGATTTGTAACTTCCATATTATTGCAATATGTTACTTTGCTCAATACAGTAATGACAAAGGACAATGATACTTCCACAGAAGTAAGTGACACTGGTGACTTGGCACAAATAGAATGGTTATCACTTTTATGTAAACAGTCTATGTATATGACCACAGAACATTATATTACTGACAATACACTACATTGTTTTAATGCTGAACATATTTCTATGCCATTTTTTAAAGTATTACCATAGACACAAGATGGCTGTCACAACAGTGTGCAGCTCCAGAAGTAAGCTTGCCTGACTGCATTTGCTCGAGGGGGTGATTTGCGGGCATCCGTCAGCACTAACTGGAAGTGACAGTGTGCAGAGAGGTCCTAATTACTGTCTCACTTGACTAATTGTCGTCACTGAAGAATGTATTCCCACTGAGGTCCCCGGGATCTCAATGACAGCACTTCTCAAGACATATAGGCCAGCACTGACTCGGGCATGCATTTATGTTCGAGGCATTTGCTGAAGCAAAGCCACAAGTGGGAAATGTAAATATGTTGATCTCAAAACTGCCTGGGTCACTAGGCTTAAGTGAAGCCTGCATGGTGGGATGCATTTGGACACATGCTGTTAACGCTGAGAAAAAGAGGTCGTTTATAGGTTTGATTTTTGAGTGCAAAAGAGAGAAGTGTGTGTGTTGTTGTCGGGCCCTTCTTCAACTTGCCAAAATGTAAAGACATCCTTAGCTACAGTCACTCTGACACAATGGGCTGATGAAGTGAGACCATTGTTGGCTTTCTGGAGCCAACCATGTTAGTATACACTTTTAGAATTCAGAATAATGCAGTAGAGTTGAGCCTTTAGTACAGGGCGACTGAATTGAATGAATGTCTTCTCTTTCAGGGTCTTACCATTCAAAGTGCATCAGCTTCTCGTTTCCATGGTTTCCCTCCCTGTGCCAATGCTATCTTTCCACCAGTCTGCCTGTGCGAGAGAGTGAACGAGGGTGGGAGAGAGGGAGAAACTGAGAGAGAGAAAATGACAGAAGGCTTTTAGCAGTGGTTATCTCTCCTTTGCATAAAGTCCCCTTTGCATTACCCAGTGCATGAATGGTCTCTGAATAAACACACCAGCCAGCTCATGTGGAAGCCTCCCTGGGTTACAAGCAAGTGGGTGTGTATAAAGTAATCTAATTTGTGGTCTCCTTCAAAAACGACACGGTTTGATCACAAGTGGAAAAAAAGGAAAACATGTCCCAAATGGTATTTTCCTATTTGTCACAACAAGCTAAAGGAGCAAGAGTCATTTTGACATCATAATGTAGAAATTCACCGTTCCCATCACCTCCCATTTTCTAACTGATTTACAAACTCAGTAATGTTACTCTGACTGGTTTACCCGGCAGTGAATCGTGGGTTAAACTAATCTACAAACAAAGAAATTGAGACGTGAAGCATAGCTGATTATTTTATCCTCACATGCCCAATGCTGAGACACAGACAGAGAAAAACGGTGTACATCAATATTAGAAAATTAAATCAGAACAATTTGTGACAACCCTAATTCTATTCTGCAAATTACATTTGGGGAACATTGAGTGTAGGGGCACCTGAAGGATTTTCGTGGTGCAGTACCTTAGCATTTAGCCAGAGGGTGCTGTGACTTTAAGGAAACCAGCATGCCTGTCAGTTGATGTCTTCTCCCTGAGCTCAATAAGCATTCCTTTCATGCTGTGTGAAGCTCTGCTGACTTATACGGGAACCCTGAATTTCTCCATAATTATGCTAATGGTCCAGATGGTGGCATGATGAGTGCCATTCTCTTTGATATTCTCACACTGCAGATTGCTGGTGTGCAGACCCACGCAAACTGACACACGTTCAAAGTCAGTGTTCACACCACCTACTTGATCCCATGTAATTACTTTGTGTTTCTTTTAGCTGATACAAGCGTACTCTTCACTATTAAATGCATTCACTTTTATAGTGTGAATGGGGATTTGACAGATCCGATGCATAATGGAGTATCACTCCAATAGCAGAGAGGGAAGGTGTTAGTCATCTTATCCACACATTTACTCTAATTTCACTATTCTGCATGCAGTCTAATTAAGACACACCACACAGGCAGTTACCAGCATTGTAAAAAGAGAAATAGACCATGATATATGCATTGTCACTCGAAATATCTATTTAAATACACTATAAGGCCATGCAGGAATATTGTAGTGACTTTCAAAGTATTTCTACTACACACACAGTCAATCCATTCACACTTTAGTCACACAATGACTGTGTTCATCCAGGCTTTGGACTCTGGTGCGCTGATCAAAGCCCTCCTTTCACGTCTCCGTTGGGATTAAATAGCCCTCTTGGGGGGCGGGTGCACCACTGTACATAGCTCCAGCTGATGCACTGGCCCATGAAGAGCTGCTCATTGGGGGTGGACGCTGATAAGGTTCATGTAGTGTTGAATCAATATCATGCAGACCCACGCTAAAGCTGCAGATATCCATCTTCTCGGCGCATTGCCTCCTATAGGATACAGCCTCAATTGAACTCGCTAATCAGATAGAGAGGCGATAGGCCCATTTAAAATCTCGAGATGATATCTTTCCCCGTGAAATATAAGTAACAGTGGAGCTTTGCGTGCATGCCACACACACCTTCACATCGGAGGATGTCTCTCACTCGAGAATAGTCTGTTGCTGGAAGGCTTTCATGTCTAAAGTGGAGTTATTTGCATAGGTTAAATATTCGCTTTTCAGCAGCCTCTGTCGATATGACGGATTTACTGTTCTGCCAATTTTAATTCCTTTCATCCCACTCCTCCCACATTTCTGAAAAGATGGTGGAAATGGTTGAAAGGTTGTTGCTTGAAATCCCGTAAAGGAGGTTTAGAAAGGAAATATAATGACAGAACACAATGTACTGGGTGTAAGGAAAAGAAAATCAGTGCAATGATATCCTGCAGGCATGAGATTATATCGCTATGTGCAGTGTGTGCATAGTTATTTCTGTATGAGCCTGTAAAGGAAAGTGCCTCTAGAATTAGCCAAAGCTTAAGCATCCTCCAGTGGGAACAATAAATCATTGCTGGCTGTTTGAACCCTGAGAAACATTACTTACAGTATAGACTCCCATTCCTTTCTCCGGCTGACATGCAGGTTTACCATCAGTCCATGGTGCTGAAAAGACAATCGGCCATAATAAACAAGCCAAAAATAAGTTGTTAAATAGAGGTTGCACTTTTTACATGTCACTTCATAAGCAAGATGCCATTTGATCAATATCACAACAACTGTATTTCCCTCAATGTATGGATGCATCATGCTTTGTTTTGTTACTAAATCCGTATTGTGAACTGCAAGTAAGGCTTCACGTTGAAGTTAATGTTGTTGCACTTACAATATTGCATCTTTACTGACAACTTTCTGAATGCATGCGAGCTTGGTGGCAAGTTATGGGGGTAGCAGAGAAACTACAGCCTGCAATAAAGTTTCCCACTCCTCCCTCCCCATTATTCTCTCTGTCCCGTCGTTCATCGCCCTCTCTTTTTCCATCCTCCCTCTTTTTATCTCTATCTATCTGTATACCCATCTCCCTCCTTCTCCCCCCACTCGCTCTCTCTGTCTTTCTCTGGTGCGCGTTCACAACACTAACCTTGGCTCGACGTCAGAGCCTGTGCAGCAGTGCAGTATAATGGGAGCGCAAGCTACCCAGAGCGCCTCATAGGGGGCTGTATATCGCTGCTGTATCCTCTGCTTGGCGCTCTCTAGCCCCTCTCCAACCCTCTCCAGTACCTCACCTACAGCCCATGCTCGTGCTCCCCCCTCCCCACTGGATCCGTACCCTTCGACATGGATGTCCCGCCGTCCCTCGACCCGGAGGATTGTTGTTTCTTGGCGCAGTGAAAGAAGAGAAGGAGAAGGGGAAGGAGAAGGAATCATGCCGGGACTGCTAATGGATTTAGGGAAAGCGCAAGTGACCATGCCGTGATCTTGCGCATCCAGGGCCGCCGTCACCCTGCCTTGCCCAACGAGCGTAGAAGAATTTCGGGGGAATCGAACCCGCGCACCGGGGGGATTAAACCACTGTGCATTTTTTTTAAACAACATGAAGATTACCTCCCATCATCTGATGATAAGCAGTCTCGTTTTCAGGTCCAACCTCAGGCTGATCCCGCTTCTGCTGCTGTTTCTTGGTTACTCTCGCGGGATGCCACACGTTTTAAGATTTGGTAAGATATATGTATGTTTGTATTACGGTATCTTCTGCAACGATGACACGGAGTGCCCGTAGGATTGTCGACAGCGAGTGAATGAATCACGGGATGCAGAAGCAGTATAGAGACATGTTATACTCTCGCCTTGGTTTAATAGAGTTTAACAATTTCAACCCTTCTCTAAAAAAAATAACATTCAATCAATTACTGTGGCATCTTTTATTATGAAGTCTTTTTACCGAGTGCATATTATCATGAATCGTGTATTATACGAACCTTAAACACAGTGTTACAGTAACTTTAAAATAAAATCCCCTGCAGCCATAAAGCTTTAATGAAGCAGTTATATATGCAACAGTTCATAGATACGGGCTGATGAAACTCGTAAAGAATTAGCTGCTCACATCTCTTCTCGAGACTTGTATCACCACGGCCCTTTAAACTGCTGACACCCAGCATGTCCTCTGCAGTAAATGTTTACATGTAAACATTACACCCAGAGTGCTGATCAATCACTCTGTCCTGTCACAAGGGCTGATCGATACGCAGGGCAGTGCTTTTCATCCTTAATCCCACTGAACTGCTATCCAATGGGAATCCCCGAGATTGTGTTTATTTACCGTTATTGCCATTGATTAAACTTATAGTTCCGGTTCATAGTGGCGATCGGCTGAGTCACGTTATAAACCACAGCAACAGTTAAAGGTATTAACCGAAAATCTTCTGTGGAGCTTATAAACCTAACGACTGATTAGCCATTTCTCTCAACACCGCCTCGAGGAAAGATTATAGCCATAGCCAATTGTGCTTATTAAATCAGTGCTTCAACAGTTGCCTCTGCTCCAATCATAACTTTAAAATAGTGCTATTGCTGCCGTGTATTCATGCACTCATATCACTGGATCAGCGTCCTGGGGTTTCGCCCGTTTCTTAATAAGATCCTGTGTTTCAGGACACACAGCATATTGGAGTGACAGAGGACCCCCCCCCCCCCCCCCCCCCCCCCCCCCCCCCCCACACACACATGCCCACCCTGACAGCGGATGTCATCAAATGTTGACAACACATCCTTACAATCCTTAAATTCCCCCGAGGATCCTGTTTAAGAGTCAGGCCGCGTCCGCGTGAGCCGCCGCTATGGCAACGGGATGTGCTTGTTTGTCTTCCTGCTGCATCCTCAGCCGCCCGACGAGCCACTTCCGTCTCACACGTTGTCTGACAGACGCCGGTCGTCTTTTCACCAATGATTGAGATCCCCATATAAAAGCATTTGACACGAAAATGTCCAAGCCGTCACCACTTGAATATACCTCGCCATGATAGGCAAGGAATCCGGCATTAGTAGCACGACAGACACAACCATGCAAGATAAAAGGTGAATTATTGTAACTGCCATCTCTTTCCTCTCTAAAGTAACGCTCATGTTTGATTTTGACGGTGTTCTTGTGGCAGTGAAATGGCCGGAGCGTCTCGAATGAGGCTCAAAAGGCGAGTCTCTGTCCTTGGTGCTGAATTAGCTCTTGTTCAGAACCACGGACAGAGACCCTGGCAGTGCAGTCTGCAGCCTGTTGCTCGACCAAAAACCCTTTTTAATAAGCTAGAATGAGTTCTGTAAGAGCTTGGGTTTTGTACAGCATATCTCATTAAGTCTAGTAGCAGCCACTTCACATATTTGCTGTTGTAATACTGCTCCATTTCGTGCAGTGTAATTAATTCTCTTTAGAAAAATATATATTTTCATCTCTCTGTTTTCATATAAAGGAGCAGAGTTTCCACAAAGGATAGATGAAGATAGATTTTATGAGTGGGATATTTTTATCAGGAAAGAGAAATGTATGTCAGTGTGTGTAAGTGTAAGAGAAATACAAAAATGCCTTGAGAGAAGATGTAGCCCATTGGTTCTTTACCCCGTGCATTTCCTGTCCTGCAGGAGATGCTTGCTCAGCAGATAATCCCAGCTGCTCCCGGCTAAATGAGGAGGTCAGCTCCCCCGGGGCGGTCTGTTCCTCCTGCCCCATCTCCCATTCTGCCCAGACAGGCGGCTCACATTGTACAACCGCTGTTCTCCTGTCAGGCTGAGACCTTTACATACACACACACATGCACACACTCATTGTAACACCAAAGCATAGTCATCCCTTTGTATTCACGGCATCGGCCATGTCGAGCGACAAGTGTCAGAGAGTGTTGTGGCCACCAGCTGCAGGCAGCCATGCTGAGCTAATTTCCACGCACAAATGACATATCACGTTCACTGTTCCTCATTTATAAATATGATATGCAATGCATTTACTTTGATACAGAAGTTGTCCCGGTGCAGCCATCACAAAGTGAAATAAGATGAGATAAGATTGTCTTTTTATAATAAGTTTTTACTTTCCTTTCGGGAGCACTGAAAGAGACTTTGTACTGATAGTGCAAATCCCAGAATAAAAGTATTTTTGTATTATTGCCACTTTGGTTTTTCTCTCGTAGTCCACCTCAACAATGTAGGCCAAATAAAAAGCTGTTAAATGTCCACTTCAAACATGGAAATTAACAGCTTTGTTGAGTGGAATGAAAAACCGAATTTGCAAGCTGAACTATGGTTGACCAATTTAATTTGTTCCCCCTCAGTTCTCCTAGATGACTTGTTAGACTTCAGTCAAGTGGAAATTCAGGGTTGCATTCAAGTCATTAGCATTATTCGTCAGCGATCTGGTTGGCTAAGATGAAAGCTGCTCATTTTCCATTTTTCCATACAAAAAGCGCAATATGTTCAGGATCTTATTTGGTATAGTGCTCGTAACAAATACTCACAAGCAATGAGTCATCACATCTGCCTTTCTATCAAAGCTATTTTGGTTTCAAAAAAAGGCCTCAGGAAGAATTTAGACAGAAGCAGAATCAACAATGAAATAGGGAGACAGTGTTTTAATTCTGATGACCGTAGTGCGACTGTGAGGTTGAGTGATGGCATTATCACCGCCATCTTCAATCCGCATTGGCAGACGCAGTATATCCCTGGGCTGTCAACATGCTGCTGGAAGCATTGTGGACTCAGAGAGGCTCATTTTGATTGTTTGTGTCCTGGTTATATTTATATTTCCCTCAACACTCTGGGAATATTTATGACTAAAGCACAACATTGTTTTTCATTTTGAAAGGAAGCTTTTTCCCCCCCAGTCCTCTGGTGAAAGCTATGTTTATGTAAATACTTCCACAATGTTGTCCAACGATTGTCCCTCGTCAGTGCTGAGGTGGCGACATTACAGTGTCGTCAGGAACAAGCAAGGCAACGGTAACACATTCAAGGGTTTGTCGTTAATTGACTTTATTTGCTTTTGCTTTCCCGCCAGCGTGAATTATCATCATGGAGTTTAGTTTGGGATTGCAGGAATTAAGGATAACACCCTGTGCCCTGGCCCGCTGCCAGCCCGTTCACAGCAAACACATTTAAATAGGCACAAAGCTGCTTAAAATATTCATGTGTCACTTGGCCGCGCTGTAGCTTATAGAAATATGAAACCATCTCCTCTCTACTGGCAAATGATTTCCACGGTTTAAAAATACCAACCGTGGGTTTCAAGAACAAAAAGGAGATCTGTCTTACATTAGCATGCAGCACCACACATCGGCTCGAAGCAGGGAACTATCTAGATGGATTTTTTTTAAAACATGTTTACGTTCCTGAGACTTTGAAGGTCTTGCTGTCATGCCTCGGTTACAAAAGGCTCAATGGTGATTAATTCAGGGGACAGATTTCTTGGTATTTTGTAATGGAAAATATCTGTGAGGTATGAAATTAGTTTTCTGGTTAGCATTTAGTAAATCTCAGATTTACCAGCTGCATTGGAAAAGATTATTTGCATGAAGGAGGCTTTAGAGGATTGACCTTGTTTGCAGGGCAACCCGTTCTAGCTGCCTCTTATTGTTTATTATAAAAATAAATCTAATACATCTGAGTCCTATTCTGCTACTGCCTTGTGGAAGGTTTGATTTCTGCATTTGGTTTTATTATTCACTGCCTTTCACTCCTTGTCATTGTCAATCAGGCTCGTCCCTGCGTATCAGGAGGGTTAGGGGTTGTATGTGCAATTGTTCTGAGAAAGTGTCCCTTGAGAAGAGCCCTGCAGCCTTGCTGGCTGCTTGTCTGGCTCAGAGCTGACTGAAGGTCAGAGCTGGAACGCTCACAGTGAATAACGTTTTTTGCATACACATGTGGAGATGTCCTTCTCACAATCGCACCAGGGGAGATGGAAGAAAATGTGAAGTCAATGAGAAGTGCAAGAAAAACAAGAGTGTTTGTTAGAGAGGGGGGAAACAGAGAGATATAGAGGAGGAGGGGGGGGGGTGTAAAGTGTGAGCGAGAAGAAAAACAGTGAGTGTTGGAGCCAGTAGATACAAAGTAAAGATAGATTAGTTTGCCTCTGAGCAGTCCACTCTCAGCCCACTCTCAGTTCTGGTCTTTTATTACTGTTTTCTGATGGCTTTTGTGAAGAGAGACAGAATGGACACTGGAGTGTGTTGTGGAAATGTAGTGGGAGGCCAGGAGTCATGAGCTGCAGCTCTGAGTAAATGCCAGCAGTATACTAATAGAAGGACAGGACTACAAATATGCAGGAAATAGCTTTTGCAACAAAGATAGTTATACAAATATCCTCCCAGGTAACAACGTAGTACCTTGGGGAACTAAACCCACAACTACTTTATTAGGCTCTAGTGCATTTACCTATATTGTCTCATTACAGAGTTGGCTGTCTCCACCTGCAGTAGACTGACAAATGTTGGGAATCAATACAAATCAATATGGTTGTATTGCTAAGGGGAACAATGAGAAAGAGAAGAAGCTGGCAGCAGTGCACACACCCAGTGCCAAGTCCCCCCCCCCCCCCCCCCGTGTGTATCTATCACAGGTTACCATCTGTGAGAATGCAAACACGTAAACAAAAAACAAATGTGTACCATAAGAACGATGTGTGGGAATAGATTTACAATACATGTTATTGTGAATTTTTTAACGCCATATACAGTCA